TAGCCCAGGCTGGCCTCGAACTCACAGAGATCCGCCTGCCTCTGCCTCCCGAGTGCTGGGATTAAAGGCGTGCGCCACCACCGCCCGGCTCAAATTGATTTTTATGTAGCTAAATTTATCCATTTATTATGGCTCTGAGCTTTCAAGCATGTTTAAGGCCTTCCCCTTCCAAGATTACTTTCAAAGTTCTCGTGTTTGAAATCATCTTTAATGATTTGTTTTCCTTTAATATGTAAATTTTATAATACACGTGAAATGACTTTAGTGGAAGGAGTGAGGTACTGATCCAGCCGGAATGTTTTTTCCGAATGGCTCTCTTGTTGTCCCAGCCCTCTGCTGAACGCTGTCCGTGTTGCCTGAGATACAAACGTTACCTTGTTGTTTATCGTTTGCTACATTAGGAATGTTTTCCCGCTCCTGTGCTCCACTCACTGTCGTCTTTGCTTGTGTCTGCTCGGTACCACACACTTAGTTACTCCTTGAGTTGTCCCAGCAAGCTAGCGCTCCTCCTTTATCCTCTCGGACAGTTCCTGGTTTTCCAAGATCAATTTCCTCATCTCTAAACTGGGAAAATAGCAGCATGTACCTTGTCAGAGTCACCTGTTTATGAAGTGTTTACTTATTTCCTGTTGACTAAATTACTACATTACTACAGTAATGAAAAAGACTTGTGCCGTGCATCTCTTGAACTCATTTTCCGTTCTGACCATTTCTCCTCGAAGGGCCTAACCATATGCCAATGCAGGGACCTGGACCCAATCAGCTCAACATGACAAACAGTTCCATGAATATGCCTTCAAGTAGCCATGGCTCCATGGGAGGTTACAACCATTCCGTGCCATCATCCCAGAGCATGCCTGTGCAGAACCAGATGACAATGAGTCAGGGGCAGCCGATGGGAAACTACGGTCCCAGACCAAACATGAATATGCAACCAAATCAAGGTAACTGCTCATCACTCCTTCCTCTTTCCCAGCTCTGGCCCCTCATGCCCCTCCTCCCAATTCGTGATCTCTTCCTTAGTTATTGTTTTGTGTGTGTGTGTGTGTGTGTGTGTGCGTGCGTGCATGTGCACGCTCACACATATGTGCACATACATATATAACTTGAGTCCATTTAGCATTGCTGTGTTTATGGCTCACCATTTGTGATCGGATAATCAGTTTTGGAGCTTGTTCCTGAGCAGCCTGGTTCTCAATTTTGGAGCTTGCTCATGAGCAGCCTGGTTCTCCCTTTCTGGGCAGCCGTTGACCATTGACGTTCTTCATCTAGGTGTAGGATCTTGTGGAATTTCCTCTGTGCTTGTCGGCATGTCAGCTGGTGGTGTCATGCCATCTTGTGTTATTGAGATTTCATGGGTACATTTTTTTGTTACGTCTAACGGACACTATCTAGCACCAACTTTCCTGGGTCCCTGATTGGCTCTTAGGGGCATTCTGTTGAGAGGGGGATGCTTTTAAAGACAAATTCCCACTCTCTCATGGAGGCTGGCCTGGGCTTTCGGAAGGCCTGCCACAGCCTCTCCATTGCTGAGATTGTAAGCATAAGCCCCAGCTTTGAACTTACTTATTTTCCTGAGTACTGTGCTGTAGGCTTGTTGGTTTGCTTTGGTGATTGAAGACAGAGTCTCTGTCTTAAGTGTGAAGTGAGTCACAGTTGTGCTCATGAGAAAACAACATTGAGTTGAAGTTGCCTTCAGTCTTTTTATTTGTGTTTAGAAATTAATTTGCCCAATTTGCCTTTTCAAAGTTGTTTGCCTTTTGCACATTTTATTTGGAGGTCTGTTGTTAAGTTGTTTCATAATGCTGGTCACTGGACAAGGCAGCATTTTGTTTCATGTGGGAACACTGGGGCGCACAGTTTGCTTTCACAAGCACACTATCCTGAAAATCACCAACCTGGTCCTTTTCACTTGCTGGGGGCACTTGTGATGACTCTCCTGTGTTTGAGGCAGGGACGGTCCTTCTGAAGATGGGGTGTGCCTCTGTGCCCATAGCTACTTTTAGCGCACTGGTTACAGTTTATTGCCAGGCTCAGTGAAGTTGTTACCATGTTCCTCTTTTAAGTAGCCTGTCAATAATAACTAAAAACCAGTCAATGGAGCTCTGTTCTCCTAATTGCTGTGTTAAAGAATTTGGCACATTGCCTCCTTAAAGATATTTCAGATACAAAATGTAGTGAGCCTTGATCTTTATTATAGGAAAAAAACTCAGATCACTCAAAGGTTCTCAGATAAAGGAAGAATTGGTTGTGTTCACATTATTTATGATGAAATATTGTAATTTCAAAATACTCATACAGTCTGGGCTTTTTATGATTTTGATGAGATATGCCTACGTTAGTTATCTGGGATCTATTGGATGGGAAGCTGACCTGGCAAATGAAAGTTTCATTAATAAGTTTTTTGTTGTTGTTGTTTCATCATAAAACAGTTCTTTTTTTTTAGGTATTTTTTATAAAAATAAGCCACGTATTTTACATGTTTTTGTTTAGACATAACAACACGGCAGAGGTTAAAGCATACTGCTTTGCAAATTGTCCTCTTTTAGAAAGCTTGAAAAACTCTAAACGCGAAAAGGAACTTGTTTACATTTTTTACCTCTCAAACATTTCTCCCAGGACCCGAAGTCCTGGGTCCAGTCCTAGGCACTGTTCCGCTCCCAGGTCTCAGATTTAGTAAGGGTTGCTTTTATGTTTTGTTTTACTTTTATCTTTGTGTCAAGAAACAACTAGAAAACCGTTTAAAAGTACTTGCTCTTGTTTTCCACGGGGCTGTGGCAGGGTGGTGTGGTTTGTTAAGATTTATTTTATGTGTGTGTTTGTATGGATGCGTGTGCACCATGTGTGTGCTGTTGCCTTTGGAGGTCAGAAGAGGGACCCCTGGAGCTGGAGTCAGTGGATGCCTGTGAGTCACCATGTGGATGCTGGGAACCAAACCCGGGTCCTCGGCAACAAGTGCTCATAACCCCCGAGCAGCTCTCCAGCCCCTGTGTGTTTGTTTGAGATGGGGTTTTGCTGTGCACTCCAGGCTGGCCTTAAGCTTAGACCTCCCCTTCCTCAGCCTTCTCAGTTCTGGGCTTACAGCCATGTGCTACCATTTTTTAAATGGGGTTTTTGAGTCATGGAAACTAAATATTGGTGAAGTTCTAGGATTCAGCTTATGTTAGGGATCAGGAATGTAGCTCATTGGTAGAATGAGTGCTTTGTACGTGCAACACCCTGGGTTTGAGAAGAGGAAAGGAATAAAGGTTTTTTAACGTGACTGAACACAATAGAAAAAAATAGCAGCTTGAGTTGTGTTGCAAGGGAAAAAAAGAGGTACAATTGAATGGCAGTTAACTAGTGCATTGTATCCTTTACTAATATACTTGTAATTAATGCTTAGTGCTATTTTTATGAATTGACTGATCATGTTGTAGTTTCTCTTTAGATTTTCTTGCTGGGGTTGTACCCTTAGGTGCATCCATACAGCACAAGTATTCTACACCAAGCTACATCTCACCTTGTCAACTTCCACTCCAGTAGCAGTAGTTTTCTAATGAGGACTCGGCAGGACAGAGTCTAAATGCACTCATTCTAGTAGCTGCTATAAGAATTCTGTTGCCCCCTTCCCACACCTCTATTTTGAATGTGAAATTAATGGGGAAAAAATAAACTCCCAAATTTTTTACATTGTATTTTTAATAGTCCATATGAATGGACTATTAAATGTCTAATGTCTACTGTATTCATCTTTAGCTTTTAGATTGCTTGAGAAGTAGAGAAATACCACTGGTGCTGATGTACTTCGGCCTTGTAGGATTGAAAGAGCAGTAGAATTTGGAATTCCTTTGGATTTTTAAGTCTCTGAAAAATATTGAAATTAGTTTTATAAATGAGCATATAAAGTACTGGGCTCCATTATGATATTGTCATATGCATTTCATTATACTTTGTTTTAACTTGTCCACCTGCCCGACTGCCCTCCCTGGGCCTGGCCCCTCCGGCTGGTCCCCTTCTTTCCTGTCACGTGTACTCTCTTTCCCTGTAGGGTCTCTAGCTCCCTGTCATGGTCTCCTTTCTAGTTGGACCTTGTGAGTAAAAACTGTTTTCACCATTTAATAGTTTGTGAAAAAGTTTAAATTGACACAAAAGTTAAAGTAACAAAAACCAACAGTGTGCTGCGGAAGTGGCGTGTGCTGTGGGATCCGTGCACACACACAGACCTGCATGGAGAGGGGCAGGAGCACTGAAAAGCCAAGAGGCAGGGACCGTGGCTGCTCTGTTCCCGGCCTGCTTCACAGTGCTTGAGGTCATGTGGTCTGTTTCTTTGATGACTAGGAATTGGAACCAAACGTCATGGCATACTCTGGAAAGATGGCTAATGAAACAGCAAATAAGCCAAATTAGAAGAGAAAAGCCTCTGGAGATGACCACGGTTACATTTGCTAGAAGCAGTGCATTTTTTATTCACAAACATTAATTGTAGCTTTCCTTAATAGAATTTTATTAATTGTCAGGTGTAAGAGTTTCACAAATTGTTATTTTGTGTTAAGAATGTGCTTCACAAGCTCCCTGTACATAATTCTTTGGACTTAGATTGAAGTCTTGATACCAGGGCTTGCTTTGAGAAATCGACTAAAATTCTTTAAGATGAAGTGAAGTGGACCAGTGGGGTGGTTTGGTGGGTAGGAATGTTGGCTGCACACCCCTGAGAACCTGAGTTCATTCCTCTGCTCGTGGCGGAAGGGCAGAACTGACTTCCAAAACTGTCATCTAGAGGGCTATAGAGGCGGCCCAGTGGTTACTGGGTCACTCTCGAAGACCCGGGTTCAGTTATCAGCACTCAAATGATAGTTCACAGCCATCCACAACTCCAGTTCCAAGGAGTCTGATACACACACACACACACACACACACACACACACACACACACACACACACACACGCAGGATAGAAGAGGCGTGCACGTGGAACGCAGACCTGAGGTTGGTCTGGTCTGGGTCTCGGGATTCCTTGGTTGCCAGAGGCTCACGGGAAATGCGTGTGAAGGCCGACTGGCTCCGGGGGTGCCCAGGGTTCGCTTCCTCACTGCTCTTCCTGAGCTCTTCTCCCTGCTGTGAAGACTTCATTTCCATATTGAAGGCCCCAGAGTAAGCTTTGGGAAGCTTATATTTATAATAAAGATTGGAGAGAAAAGAATTTGAAACAAAGCTGAGCAGACAAAGGTGGGTAGGAAGAAAATAGCTCTGAAAAAGCATTTCTTGAGACGAAACAGTTGGCCCCATTGTCAAGGAGGTAGAGTGGCAGGCTCCGGTTATCCCTGTAAACTGAGTGGCTTGCTGGTGTTTAGATGTTTGTTTATGTTAGTATTGCGCCTCTCGTCCAGCTGTGTCACTTCTGCCTGCAGAACTTTGCCGAGTTCTCTGGTCTTCGTGTTGTACACTTTCTTAAGTGACCCCCAGGCGAGGGAGGGGTGGTATGTAAGTGGGGCGCTCCCGCACTCCTGAGAGGGGAGCGAGAGTAGTGGAGTGAGGAGCTCTGAAGCCTCTGAGGGAGCAGCTTACCCTGCTAGGTGGCAGCATGAGGTGGGCTGGCCGCTGCTGTATGGGCAGATTGTCGCTGCATGTGCATGTATGCATGTGCATGTATGCCCACAGAACTGGAGCTGCAGACAGTTGCTGGCTGCAATGTGGGCGCTGGGAATTGAAGCAGAGTCCTTTCCACGAACAGCTGAACCATCTCTCCAGTCTGCAGGACTGCAGTGCTTCTTAATCAACAACTAAACCTTCTCATCCCACCTTTTGTCTCTCCACCCTAAAAGCTCCCAGGAGAAGGACTGTAATAAAGCATGGGCTCAGAAAACAGACCTGCACCATCTCCAGTGAGAACCCAGAAGCAAAGGCACACCGCTGCAGCACGCAGCAAAGCTGCAGCACAGCGAGGCACACAGCGAGGCACACAGCGAGGCACACCAAGCACACAAAATAAGTTTTTCTTTATAAAAGAAGCATTGTGGTCCTTTGATTTCAAGTTTATAAAGCTTGTAAAAAAATTGGGGAAGGAAAAGGGTTTTGTTTTGTTTTTTTTGAAATTTTGTCCTCAAAGTGAAGTTTATAAAATTCAACCGATCTGTTTGTGAAGTGCTTTTATAGGTTTCTACCTACCACTATTGAATAAATGTCTATTAAAAAGAATGAAAGGTAGGGTCAGAGGCGTGGCTCAGTGGGGAAGAGCATTCATACTGGGCAACTCAGAAGCTCCTGTAACTCCTGCTCTAGGGGCTCGGATGCCCTCTTCCAGCCTCACTGGGTGCCTGCATGCATGTGATGTGTATAAATTGTGAAGCTCACGTACTTACATACAAATGGATAAATCTTTACCCTCCCCTCCGCAGAAAAGAATGAAATGGAAATCCAGAAGTTTGGTTTTCTGTGTTGGTTTGACTACTGATTTGATAGGGAACATTTGTGGAGTTTACTTATCATGGCTTTTCTAATACTGCAGTAAGATAATTTTGTCTAGAGAGATGGTATAGGAAATATGGTATAGAAAATGCCCATGTTCAGGAAGAGGTTACTGTCTCCATTTTGACTTTAAAAAAAATGACTTTAGGTGGACCTGAGATTTGGTTGTTTTTTTCTTACTTGCACATGAACTTGGGCATGTGAGCTTTATGCAAAAACTCATTTATACTTGAAGTCAGTTTTCCCTGTTTGATTGCACATTTTGTATATTATATTTTAAAAAATTCTTGCATCTATCTTAGGATATTGAAGTGTTACCAGAATACTGTGTATTAATGTTTTATGTGTCCTCAGGTCCCATGATGCATCAGCAGCCTCCTTCCCAGCAGTACAACATGCCACCTGGAGGTGGGCAGCACTACCAAGGACAGCAGCCGCCCATGGGCATGATGGGTCAAGTTAACCAAGGCAGCCACATGATGGGCCAGAGACAGATGCCTCCATATAGACCACCACAGCAGGGTGAGAGCCATTTGGAACGTGCCTTGCTCAATGTATATAACAGTGATTGGAAGGCTTTAAATTTTAATGAACTTTTTATCTAGGTAAACCCAGGGCTTTTTTTTTGGATTCCCCTCACATCCCCTCCCTAAGGTAGCAGGGTTTAGGGCACAGAAGGTCATGAGGCATATAGGAGCTTCCCAGCACACAGCTTCCTTTTGTCTGTTATTTTCTAGGAAAATACTACATCATGAAGTTTTTTTTTTTATCACAATTTACTCATTTACAACAGAAAATACCTAAAAAAAAAAAAAAAAAAAAAAGAAAGAAAAAGAAACTACTAAAAGAAACTCCTAAATATATGACCAAGGACAAAGTCGATTTTACTTCAAAATGCACTAATACTAAAGTAAAAAGAAATGAGTTTCCTACCAGCTTCAGCCCCTTCTGAAGAGGTTGTTTGAGTTGGTTTGTTGGATATTATTTATTTGTATGGTCTTATATTAACTATAGATGTGACTTGTGGACCTGCTGTGTGTATCTGTGTGTGTGTGGAAATAGTGAAAACGTCAGAAGGGCAGAGCACTGGAGGGGAGTCGACAGCTGAGGAGTAGCCTCTCTTAGTATGAGGTTAGGAAGAACGCCTGTGATGACCTCGAGGACAAATGATTTACATCTTGACTGGTTGTGGTTTTTCAGGCCCACCACAGCAGTTCTCAGGCCAGGAAGACTATTATGGGGACCAATACAGTCATGGTGGACAAGGTCCTCCAGAAGGCATGAACCAGCAGTATTACCCTGATGGTAATCTCTCCTAATGCTAACCTTCCCGTTTTCTATCCCTGCCCAGTATTGATGTAGACAGCATTTCATAGCTTTTTAATGAAGGGTGAAGAAACTACCTCTTGTTTCTTCCTTTAGAGACATTTGGGTATTCTACAGTAGCAGCAGTAAGCACATTTGTTTGTAATTAATTCACGGTATATTTGTATAGTTACTGTTAGTGCCGTCAGGAGTTGCATTCCGTCACTAGAATCTTGTCTCACATAAAGAGGCTCCTTTTATATTTAGGATTGTTCATTTGAATCTCAAACAAATGTTACTGATTTCTTTCGTCTTCTTTTTTTTTGTAATATTTTTATAGAGATTTAATTCACCTGCTGTAAAGTATCACCCATTGGTTTAAAGAATATGGCTCTGTAGAACCATAGAGAATATAGTTCCTGAGTATTTTCACTTTATCTAATGTTACATTCTTGTGAAGGAACTGTAGCTTATGTTCTTGCTTGCCTTTGAGAAAAGATGTGTCCACAGCACAGCAGTAGACAGGTGCACTGACTCGTACTGAATGAACAAGGCTTTTGGCTTTTCAGTTTGCCTTCTCCCCACCCCCCTATAGAAGGGAAGGTGAATTGGGAGAAGTTGACTTTACCGAGGAAGGGCTAAGAAAGTACATACAATGATAATCCAGGCGCACAAGTAGATTTTTTACTGTGCATTTTAAAATCTTTTTGTTTGAAAATTTTGTATTTTAATGTTAAAATTATCTAAATATATAGAACTGGTGAAGTGATAGGTGGCTATATTACATAGTGATTTGTCTTATAATGAAATGGTTTGCCAAAATATTGGTCTATATAGTAAATTCTGTTGTTATTTTTAATGTAAATTATATAGCAAAGAAACTTCAGGATAAAGTGTTAGGACCCCTTGGCTAGAACCTAATGCAAGCCAACAAGAAGATGGAGTTTGGTCTGTTGCAAAGGCATTTCACCTGCCGCTTTCATGAGTGTATGAAGGATGAAGGTGTATCTGCATTAGACACCAACTGTCACCACAGAGGTCCTGATGAAGCAGAGAGAAGAGGCAGGCTCTTGTTGAACTTTCCACACAATAAACGTTTATTAATAATGATGGTGTATCTAGGTAATTCTGGTTAGAACAGTGTATTTTTTAATGCCAGATATTCTTGCCATGAAATATTCAGAATGTTGTTCTTTTTTCTTTCCTTATTTCTATGTAGATATATTCAATTTTTAAATTTAGAAACTTTAATAAGATAATAATATGTTTACAGAAAAATTTAAAAGATTGACATCTACCTACTAAATATAAGTATTCTGAGAATAAATGAGTTTTTAATCAACTTTAAAGTACATCTTAAGCAATTATGTTGAACTTGGTGTTTTTTGGTCCTGGGTATTTCCTTAGATGTGAAATTTGTCTTATCTTAATCCTTTCTATTCAAAGTAGACCCACTACTTTTATAAATATTAAAACTTAAAGTTATTATAATTACTTGTGCTAGTATGTTTTCAATTTAAATGGTATCATGTTTTCACAGGTGTGTATAAGTCTTGCCATATACAGAGTATTCCATTTATATCAACAATTATATTTTCCTAGGCAAATTTGAGCAGCATCTCTTTTTATGTCCAGATGTAATCATGTCCATAAAGACCTGGATGAGTACCTGGCTGAGGTTTTCTGCACAGGGCCAGGCAGTGAATGCTTTGGTCTTTAAGCCCTATGGTCTTGCTCTCGGATTGCAAATGCAAACCATCCTCACCAAAATCATGAGAGCAGCTGTAGACAGTGCTCAGGGGATGGGCATGATCGGATCTCAGCGAAACGCAGATCTAACAGGCCGCTGGCCTAGTAAGCTGCTTGGTCATCTTGCCAACCCTTAAAATGGCTTGGGGGCTTTAAATCCTAACACAATGAGTGTAACTGTAGTCCTTCCTCCTAACTAGGCATTCTCAGAACATTAGTGCCATGTTTTAGCAATTGAAAAGTGAAACTTCAAAGAATGAGAAAATAATTAGTCTATCAGTGAAAGTTACTGTGTCATAAAACTTGGGGTGTTTTCTAACTTAGAAATTATAAATTTTATGAAGTTTTATATTCAGGATACTCTAGAAATATTTCTAGAGATGCCTAAAATGACAGCATTGAGAAATACATTTTCTACTTGTGCTTCACAGGCAGGTGGGTCCCTATGAGTTTAAGGCCAGCCTGATTTATATAGAGTTCAAAGAAGCCGGGGTGAGAGACCCTATCTTAAATTTTTTTTCTTGCATCTGAAAATACTGTGCAAAACACTTGTACTTGATGCAATAAAATTTTGAGAGTGTTAAAAACTCACTTCAGCTTCTTTCAGGGGAAAAACTTAAGGACCTCTTGTATAATTTGTGTTGTTTTTCGTATATGCTGTGGAAATGGTGACCAGCAGAACAGGGGTTTGATAAAGTACTGTAATTGCATACTGTTCATTCTGATTCAGCTTGATTTACTCACATGCGAGAGGCCTAAATGTTCTTATTTTCTCTTTAAAAATAGAATATAAGGTTTTTGTTTTTGTTTTTTTGCCCTCAGTGAGGGATATCAAAGTTAAGAGAATGAGTGTAACATTTCTAAAACTATTGCTCTTTGCTTTGAAAAAGTGTGCATGTTATCGCACTGTGAAAGCATTCACGTTGGTAAATACTTGCTAATGCAATTAAAATTATTTCTTATGTATTTCCATTTCTTTTTCTTTCTTTTTTTTTCTTTTCTTCAGTTTTATCTTAAAGTTTAATTGTAGGGTTTTCACTCAGTGGCCATTAACGTTTCTTCCTGTCTCTTGTCGAATTGATGTAGGTCATAATGATTACGGTTATCAGCAACCGTCGTATCCTGAACAAGGCTACGATAGGCCTTATGAGGATTCCTCACAACATTACTACGAAGGAGGTATCTATATACCTTCACACACATACACATGCACACCCCTTCTGCAGGAATGGCAGTTCTTGCATAGGACAGTGTCTTCCCATGCAAAGCTCTTGTAGAGTACTAGTTGCTGGCTTTCTGGAAAATTACAGGGCCCCAAACAACCTTACAAATATTTAGAATGTAACCACGATGTGTCATTTCTAACAGCAGTAAAAAGACTAAAACATTTAAAAATGCTTTTTTGCTCCGTGGAAATTTCCTCTTTGAACATAAACCCATCGGTCCCCATCCCCTACCCCGTGTGTGTTTGTACCTGTGTATTACTACATCTCAGCATAGTGCCTCTAGGGAACAGCTTGCTGGTGTTGTGTAGCTAGTGTGTGCTCTCGTAGCTGTCTTTAATTTTGTCTTTTTTATTTTATTTAGCGTAGTCATGATCTTAGGACTGATGCTCCAGTAACTGCAATGCTCGTGTGGCAGAGACGCTGACAGGGCTGCAGTTCAGCCTTGCACACTTGGCTTTAACTGCAGTTTGTTTGGCCGAAATCCTTCTGTTTGGTTTGAGTTTTCCTTTGTTTTGTTAACTTTAAAAATCAGTATGGCATTTCATTCATTGTTGTATTGTTGGCTGTGCATCTGAGAGGGAAACCCCGCGTCCTTGGGCCGACTTCTCAGTGCTTTGCCCGCCTCTCTCCGTTCTCCTGTAGGGAACTCACAGTACGGCCAGCAGCAGGACGCTTACCAAGGACCGCCGCCTCAGCAAGGCTACCCACCCCAGCAGCAGCAGTACCCGGGGCAGCAGTACCCGGGGCAGCAGCAGGGCTACGGTGAGAGCTCCTTTATCCCGCCTCCCTCCAAAAGGATGTCATGGGGGTGGTTCTAAAGCACACAGTGGTGTTTCAGTTTCTGAGCACTTATTGTGTACATGTGTACACACATGGAACACAGTGCATGTGTCTAAGTCAGAGGATAACCTATTGGAATCGCTTCTTTCCACCATGTGTGGCCTGGAAGTTGAACTTAGGTGGTCAGGTCTGGTGGTGGCAAAGTGCCCTTGCCCACTTGGTCATCTGTCTCTCCAGTTCTTACATTTTTATAAGCATTCTTTTAACCCATCTACTATTACGTGTTTGTTTAGATTATTCATTTAAAGGCATGGTGAAATAACTGTTTCTATGGTAGGTTTTAAGTGTTGTGGGAAATGACATTGAAGTGTCCAAACTGTCAGCTTCCGCTTGAGAAAACCTTCCCTGGAGTCACTAGTTGAGTTTCTAAAGTAGAGCGCTTCTCAGCAGGCGGAATCAGTCCCTTGCCGTTTCTGGGTCTAATCATTGGTTTATAGATAAAGTTAAGGTGTTAACTGTGATTGATTCTCAGAGTGTGATTTTCTTCTAAGATTTACTTAGTTGTATTACATGGGGAGGAGTGTTTCGCCTGCATGTATGGGTGTGCACT